CGTCAGCGGCTGGCCAATGAGGCGGCAGCCGAAGCTCAGCGGACAGCTGAGACTGACGAAGCGGCACGAAACAGACGGAATGCCGCCAGCACGGAGTCCCTGATTGCTAGTGAGCATCAGTGGACAACGATACTCCAAGGCATGATCTCTGTGCCTACGGAAACGCAGGCGGAGCCGACACAGGCGGAGGCAGAGAAGTAACCTGGCTACCGTGATGTTGAACGTAATGAGGGGAGTAATGTGGAACAACAAACTCAAACTAGGCACACCTGCACGCGGAACGACAGCAAAGACAGCAGTACCAGCAAGACCTGGCCGCTGTAACGGCCGGCGTCCGCGACGCAGCAATGCAGCAGCAGCAACAGCAACAGCTGATGAACTCTACCATCGCACGCATCAACTGCATTGAGGCCAAGGCCTCAGCAGCGCCAGGCTGCACGACGGACGCGACGAAGCAAATCAACGAACGCATCGATCACGTCGTCACCATCATCGGCGACATAGGTGTTTTCAACGGACCGGACACGATCAGCAGCACGGTGGCCGCCATCAAGACGGACATCACCAAGCTACAGACGAGACCGGACGCTGCTACAAAGACGTTCAAGATGCCGCACTACGACATCTGCAAGTTCGACGACTACGACAAGTCGGACGCTTTGACATGGTGGCAACGTTTCCTCACGGAAGCGTCATGCCGCACTGTCCCGGCGAACGACATGTTGAAGGCACTCAATTTGCAACTGATTGGAGGAGCGCAGGCATGGATGATCCACCTGGCGGCCACCCACAAGTGCACCATCGCCGAACTCCACACGCACATCACGTGGAAGGAGTTCGAGCAGCTATGGTTCACCCGGTTCATGGTCCGCAACGTCGTGAAGGCGGCTATGAATGAGGTGTACACATGCTCTCAGGGGAACATGCCAACTCGAGACTGGACAACGAAGTGGCAAAAGATAGTGACCACACCAGGCTTCGACTTGACGTTTCCAAATCAACGATCCGAGTTCTTCTCGCGATCATGCGCGGGATTGCGGTCGGCACTCGGTAATGAGTACGACTATACCACATTCCAAGCCATTCTGGATCGAGCGAACTTGGTCATCCAAACGGACGACAAGGCCGCTAACGAGAGACAATCCCAGCCGCATTATGTGGCTAAGCAGGCCGTGATTTCTGAGGAAACCGACGACCACCACGCTGCAGCAGCATCCTCGGGTGATGGAGGAATTGTCGCAACGCTCCCGCCGAAGCGTCCCAAGAGAGTTCGTAAGAACAAGGCGACACAAGAGACGACAGCGACGGGAGCTGGCCAACAGCCATGGACGACATATAAGATCACCAAGGAGGTCGATGACCTACGTCAGAAGTACGGATACTGCCTTTGGTGCAACGGAGTCACTCATGTGACCGCACAATGCCCCGAAAAGGGCAAGGCACGCGTMCCCCGTCCAGCAAACTCGGGAAACTGAGTTACGCAAGGAGAGGGGCGACGTCTCTCCTCACTCCGCCGGACCCGGTTGCCTTGCTAGCAATCGATGTCACTACCGGGGAGCATGCGTTAGTCGTTGATTCTCGTGCTACGTACGAGGATTATGCCGCCCAGTTGGTACCACCATTAGACCAGCCTAGCCACGTGCATGTAGATTGCGTATGCGCAGCCTATACACCGCCGGCAAGTGATCCGGTCAGTTCGCCACTGATTTCCGAGGACTCGACGGCGTGGTCAAGACTGGAGGAGCTTGACCCGCTCACGAGAGAGGATTTCGCTTGGATACCTCTACCCTCGACCGGAACATTGCCAAGGCCGCATTGCAACGCCTTGATGGCAAATCTACGCTTCTACTTGCACACTACAGTACCAGCTCCGTTGACGGACGACGGGGTAG